CGGGCTTACTACCTGACATCTATCAAAATAAATTAACCGCACTTTTTCCCAATTAAATTGTTTTATTTAAATAAAGAATAAATAAATAAAACATTCTTTTAAAGAAATAAATTCATTTAATTTCGTTCCAAATATGTGAACAATGTTTATAATCATATTTATGTAAATATGGATCATTAGTGTTTAAAAATTGCTATAATGTATTGTTTAAATTAATTATTATTATTTTACTTTTCATTGTTCGTCTAGTGTAATAATAGTTTACTTGGTACATTTTTTTCCAGAGTATTATGTCTCAATTCCAAGTAAGTGTGGAAAATATTTTTATTTACAACTAGCTGTAAACCCGCGGCTTCGCTCGCATGTTTCTTTCCCGTTTTCGTTCCGTTTTAAGAAGTAAAACATTCATATCCACCAAATTTCATCAAAATTTGTCCAGCCTTAAAAAAACGCCTTTGCCACCCCCGGTAGCAGCTATAGAGCGGACGGTTGCTTCGGGATATAAGTCAGTTTTAGAGAATTATTAAGTGGTCCTGGTTGGAAATTTTATTTTTAAGAATTAACAATTAAGAATATTAAATGGAAACGAAGTTTTTTACTTTTTGTTGTTGTCTGTCTATCAGTGTTGAGTTTAAAACCCTTAGGGGATAAAAGTAGAGGATGGAAAGTAGCCTATGTTGCTCCCCAAAAAGTCCTCTTAACCAATGAAACTCCGGTCCAAATCGATTCAGCCGTTTCGGAGATTAGCCCGGACAAACAGATAAGAAATTATAAATGCTAGAGTCAAAAATGAAGACACTATAACTATCAAATAAATTCATGGAATTTCTAAAATAGTAAAAAAAGGGAAAATAATGTAAACAACTAAAGCACAACGTACAACAATAATTGTAATTATTACTACCATTATCTACATTATAATAAATTCTAAATATACATACAAAAGTCAATGAAATTAACAAAGCTATTCCAGACTGAATATTATATACTCTGTATAACCAAATTACTAAATTATTTACAGATAAATTCATAGTTTTTTCCAGCGACAGAAAGTATCAGTTAGTTAATTGTGGTGTTTTGACGGCAAATATCATGTTTTAGGGCGATTTAACTTAATTTCGATAGTGAAAGGGATACGATTAATGTTTCGTCATGTAAGATTAATCTTTTAAATGGAAAATTCCTAATTATCTTTTTAGTCTATATTTCCAAGGCAACTGTAGCTGAATTGCAAAATTTCTGGAAAGATCTTCGTTTTTTTGTGTTCAAAGTGTAAATATGTAGAGTATTTTAATGTAACAAATTTTGTGTTGGATTTCAACGAAAGTAAATAAAACTTGTTATATAATTTTTATGACTTTTTTAAACTTTATTAGTTTAATAATATCCTGAACTCTGATAGTAGACTGATATATTTTTGCGAACAACTTTTAAAAACTTTTTTAAGGAATAAAAATCTTATAAATATAAAAAAGCAAATTTTCCGGCTCTGAATAATAAAAATTCATTGGGTGTTTTTAAATAATGTTTATGAGGTTAACCTTGCTTATGAATATTTTTATAATGAAATATATAATATGTTGGATGATTTTCTTCTATTATTAAATATCAAAATAAAAGAAAATATCCTGGTTGGTATTCTAATAATATTATAAAAATTATTGATAACAAAATACCATAATTTTTTTTTACTATAATAAATATACTAATTTAAGAAGATAAACTAAGCAACGTATAAACCAGGGTTGTGAACCGTAAAAAAATTTCGGTCCATGGACCGGTTCGCCAGAGGTTCAGTTACAAAAAAGGTCCATGTAACCGGACCGTTTGTGGACCGTTTGTGTTGGACCGGTCCAGCAAAAATAGGTTCGACTGAACCGGTCCGTTTTGGAACATTGACAGTGTGGACCGCCAAAAACGGTCCGGTCCACGGTCCATGGACCGGTCCGAACGAACGAAAACGTATCCTCCCAAACGTTTTAAAGTGTGAATGTGGCACCCGCCCCCAAAATCTTAAAACGGTCCGGTCCACGGTCCATGGACTGGTCCGAACGAACGAAAACGTATCCACCCAAACGTTTTAAAGGGTGAATGTGACACGTCAATTTTTATTTGTAAAGGGAGACATTTTATTGTACGACCCCACATGCACCCCTACGCGCTCTACCCCACCCGCCCCCAAAATCTTAAATTGCACGGGGGTTTAAGTGATATCGTTTTAAAGGTCTTTTAATTCTTAATAAGATACTGTAATTTTCTCATAAATCTGTTGGTCAGTTTTTTAAACTAGGTTAATTAAGAGAAAAATAAAAAAATTGTCTAATCAACTTTTTTGTGGGTCTCATGGAGCAAAAGTGGATTAGGATTGCTCCAAATCTTATAAATGGTGATTCACTAGCTAAAGGTGATTTATTCAATAGCTGTATACTTGCGGCTTTGCTCGGATAACGTTTTTTCAGCAACTGCCATTTTGACAGCTCATTTCGGCACCTGTCATTTTGACAGTTTTTATTTGGGCTCCTGTCATTTTGATAGCTGTTATTTGGGCCCCTGTCATTTTATCACCAGTTATTTTTACAACTTATTTTGACAGCTGTCATTTGGGCACTTGTCATTTTATCATCACTAATTTTTATAGCTGTTATTTCCGCACTTCCGCCATTTTGACAGCCTTTATTTTGACACCTGTCATTTTGACAGTTGCCATTGTGAACAACGGAAGATCTCCAGAATCACTTTGAGCGTATTTCTCGTTGATTTACAATAATTGTAAAAAAACCATTATTGTTTTTTCACTTAATTTACTTAATTTTTTCATGAAACGTACATTAAAATTTGTCCCCCTAGAAATAATGTTAGATTTATCATTCCACGTTAAATTTATTTAATAATTAAAATTTTCGGAAAATCGCTTTCTCGTGAATAACTAATTATATTGATAGTATTTAGTTTTTTTTTAATAATTAATCATTAAACATTTCTATAGATTCTGAAGATTTGAGCTGTTAATATTAACTATAGTAATTATTTTGTTGTTTTTTTAATTTGGTACCCACTGCGCCCACATAAAACCAACTGGTATCTAATGCGCATGGAAACCACCACCTGATACCCACTACGCATAAAAACTATCACCTGGTACCTTCTGCGCATAGACACAATAATCGCGTACCGACTGCGCATAGATCAAATCATTTGGTACAAAGTGCGCACACATAAAACCACCTGGTACTTACTGCGCATGGATCCAACCATCTGGTACCTACTGCGCATAAAAATAAACCACCTTGTACCAACTACACATGGAAACCACCACCTGGTGGCTACTGCGCATAGACATAATAATCTCGTACCCACTACGCATAGATCAAATCATTTGGTACACAGTGCGCACACATAAAACCACCTGGTGCTTACTGCGCATGGACCCAACCATCTGGTACCTACTGCGCATAAAAAACATCTGGTACACACTGCGCAATAATGCGAATACATAATGATTAATTAAAATTTAAATATGTATGTAATACTGTTTAATATTCACGGTCCCTGACAAAAAAAACTGTCTTGGACGGCTATCAAAAAACCTGGCAACGTTGCTAAAAGCCATATCGCCAAATTTTAGAATTTAAAGTGTCCTATTTAAGAAAGAACAATGTCACGGAGGACAACCCGACCTGGCGTGGACGCCATTTATATATACTTATACCAGCACGTAGTGTGTACCTATTACGAAATTATTATATGTATATTATTTTATGAAAATCGGGTTTAGAGCAGTTATCCCTTTCACTTCAAAAATTCGCGAGGGCCAACAAAAAAAAACTTTATTTGGTGGAATGACCCATATAATATATAAAAAAAATCTGACATCTGTTAGTTCCAATCTCACTTTTTCCAATTTAAAATCCGATTGGTTCAAATCACAGTAATAATAATAATAATGTCAATAATATGAAATAGGAGTGGAAATGATCTAATAATACAAATGTTTGGACCGGTTCAAAGTGTTTAAACCGGTCCAGTACCACTCCAAAACACTTGAAAACGGTTCGGTCCAAAATTTGTACCGGTCCAAGTAATTTTAAAAACGGGACGGTCCATGGACCGGTCCAGAATTATAACTTGTTTATTTTGGGTACGGACCGGTCCGCAACAAACAAGCGGTTCTTGGACCGGTTCACAACCCTGGTATAAACGAAGGACATAAAAGCTATCTCTGGCATGTTCAAAATATTATTAATATTTATTCATCGCAGTATGAATATGAGTATAAGAGACGTATAACCAACCCCATTGCCTCATCACTCCCGGACCCCGTACAGGCCTATGTTTACTTACGCCGATTTTTGTTCGCCCCCAGCAACTGCACGGCTTCACCCGTGTTTGCTGGGTGCGAATGTCCATTGCGTTCCGTACTGTCCCCTATTTGGGGCTCGAGAGCGACATGCGAATAGTTTTAATAGCCATTTTCGGGTTCGCCGAGTCGATGCTATACGCCCAGTAGGGTATAGAGGAGGAGGGACGTGAGGGATAGACGTTTGTTGGTTTTTGGGAGACAATTACACCGACTTAAAACTAAGTACGACGCGGAATCCCCCTAGACCAGTCGATTAGTATTACTCCAAACATTTGGGATTACTATTTGGAGTTGGGGAGTTGTTATTTCGCTGCAGGGGTGTAGTTTCCTAGTCGAGGTCTTCGTCTTGTTCGTTATTGTCATTGTACGTGTCCTGGTCAGATAGTTCCTGCACTTGGTAAAGTGTGTCAGTTGTTTTTTATTTTATTTTTTTTATTTTAATTTTATTGTTGCTTAGTTGCTCCCAACTGGTCTTGTTAGTTTGTGAGAAGTGCATGTTTTGTGCTAACGTGTCATGAAATGTGAAGCATGGTCTCCCGGCTTTTTTGTTTGTAAGGTCTAGTTTAAGGGTGGCTAGTAGTTTGTTGTTGCGATGCCTACGAGTGACGTGGGCCCAGTATTTTAATTGGGCTACTCTTACCCTTTTGGTAATGGGTTTGCCCATTAGCAGGTCGCGGGGATGTTGGTGATGGTAGTCGGGTAAGTCGGTCGTTAGTAGTGTAATGATCTTCCGTTCAAGTTTGCGTAATTTTTGTCCAAAGCACGTTTTGTGGTAGAGTTTTGTCTTTTTTTCTTGAATTCCAAAATTAAGTATTGCATTAGTTAAACAAATGACAAGCGCAATAATTCTGTTATCTAATGTTTACAAATCCAGTAGAGTTTGGTTAATATGCTTTTTTTACTATGTTAGGGTTATAATGATTAATGTGGTAATTTATTCTGTGTGTCTAGTGTTTATTATTGGTCTCGTTTGGGTTTGCCTTACGCATTTGTTGTTGACAGATTTATTGCCTACGCAGTGTGCCTTTCTTAGGGTTTTAAAGAAATCCGTCGTGTTAAATCTGCAGATTATGTGTTAGGTCATGCATATGCTTAGGGTTACTTATCAATTTTTTGCGGATGGCCACCTCCCCTACCGTTTGACCTCCCTTGTCTGTCCAGTGAAAAGCGTCCAATGACAGGTGGCACCTAGCTCATTCATATCACTCAACACTTCACTCCTCATTGACCGTTACACCATTTCAGTTTGCACGAAAATTGTTTGCTTCACTATAATTGGTTTGTACTTTTTAAAAATTATTGTTGGTTTTAATCTTTAAACTTTTACGTTTTAAGAACTCTCGCTCTCGCGTGGTACCTTCTCAAGTGCCTATTAATATTTATTCATCGCAATTCTAAAAATTTGCTCAAAATAAAAAAGGCTCTTCGCGTATACCAGAAAGCATGCACCATGTTAATTGCTTATGATACACCCGAAAGTATAGTTAATATGTTTGCAAACTACTTTATCCAATAAAGATAATAATTTTAAAAATAATCACAACTTAAAAGTAACTGTACAAAATGACAATGTTAAATATATTTCTGAGGGAGATATATGTATTAAAATTAAGAAACTAAACCATAAAATGACTGCTGGTAACGATAAATTACCCAGTTTTTTGGCAAAAGACTGCTCTTGTTTTTAACAAAACCATTAAGTGTTTTTTTTAATTTGGTATTAAAAAGCTAAAAATTTATGGAAAATCTCAAGAGCTGAAAGGTGGATTTCCCGGTGACATAAAAACTACAGTCCAATATATATTTTATGTAATTTTTAATTTAAGTATTTTAAAGCATTTGATGCAATAAAATTTATTGTCAAATAAAAAACTTTTTTTCTCAATATCAACATAGCTTTGTAGAAAAACGTTCCACTGAGTCAAAGTTGCCCATAATAGTCCAGTCATATAGGCATTTCACCTCGGAATCTAACGGAATAAGCTGAATTTTTGTACAAACCTTTATTTTAGCATTGCAAATGTTGTATCAAAAGTCACATATGCCAACGTGTGAGCGATATTCAAGGTCAAAGGTCGCAAAAATCAATTTTTTGAGAATATCTCCTTTTCTCTGTCTCCTATCGTATTTGCATTTATTATACAAATTGTAGAGAATAAAATTCTCTACAAAATTTGTTTAAAACAATTTTTTATACGTCCAATCGTTTTTGAGATAGAGGGCGCAGAGTGTGGAGCGCTCAGCCATACGTACCTTTAGCGCAAGGTAAATCATGAATCCCAATCTATTATACCGTTTTTTTAATTAATTATTTATTAAATATTACTTAAATATCAATTTAATACCTTATATTTATTTTTATATATATTTTTAAACCAAATAGTCATTAAATATTACTTACTTTTGAGATACAAATAATTAAATAATGAAGTGAATTATTCTAAATATATTCTAATGTTATTCTAATTAATGATAAATGGATTTTAAGAAGAAAAGACATTAAATGAATTTGCCTTAAATATGTCTCTGGTCATCTCTTGGATCCAGATATTGCTTTTAAAATAACAGACCTGGAAATACTATAGTGGGCTTGCTATAAATAAAAAGGTTAGGTATACCTATATTAAATTTTAAAGCAAGTTGTGTCCCTAGGTATAGGTCTAGGGTTTTGACAAGTAATATTCGTAATATTTTAAAGGTTAACATGGCTGATTTGTGTTTTATTTGTAATAAGTTACTTTCTGAAGGTGATTCTGTGACTTTTGTGCGCGGTATAAAGACTTTAAAAGAAGCAATTATTGAGAGAAATAAACATAAACTACCTAAATACTTTGAATTCTGTAAACGTTCATATTGAGTGTCGAAAATTGTACGCTATAACGTACTATAGTAAAATTGCAGCAGCAAAACGTCGCCTTGAAGAGACTGGACCTTCAACGTCATCAACTGTACCTCGTAAAAAAGGGAATGATGTGTTTGATTTTAAAATATTGTGCTTATTTTGTGGTGAAGTCGCGGATGAGGCAACAAAGGCAAAAAAATCTGCAAAGTACAAACGCGTTATAAGTACGTTTTTGAAGATATGACAATTAATGTCAATGATAACGAGGAGAGTGATGATGAGAATGAGTCTGAAATTGCTGGCCAACCTGAAGAAGACGAGGATGAAGAAGATAAAGATTAATAATAATAATAATTATATTGATATAAATAAAAACATTTTTTCCTACTCCGATTCAATTATCCTTCATTAAAATTAAATTAAAATATACTCTCTAAAAATGAATTAGTCAAAAATGACTAATTTAATAGTTCTTAGTGGCTGCTTTTTCACTTGTACCTTGGTTAACCATGGTATCAAGAAATTTAACAGCCAATTCTTATGTAAAATTGTCCCTTGAATCCGAAAATACCGTCAAAAATTATGAAAGTGGAGCAGTTTTTGAGATATAGTCAATTTCATATGAAATGAAAAATTGACTATATCTCAAAAACTGTTCTAGTTTTTTAACTTTTGACGACATTTTCGGATTCAGGGGACAATTTTACATAAGAATTGGCTGTTAAATTTTGGGATACTATGGTATTCCATGGTTAACCATGGTACAAGTGAAAAAGCAGCCACTAATAACTATTAAATTAGTCATTTTTAACTAATTCATTTTTAGAGAGTAAGATAAAGGTATATGAAGATAAAATATATTTGATTTAAAAGAAATATTAATATAAGTATAAGGTATTAAATTTTTATTTTAGTAATATTTCTTATATAATTAATTAAAAAAACGGTATAATAGATTGCGATTCACGATTTACCTTGCGCTAAAGGTACGTATGGCTAAGCGCTCCACACTCTGCGCCCTCTATCTCAAAAACGGTTCAACGTATAAAAAAAATTTGTTTACAAAATTTGTAGAGAATTTTATTTTCTACAACTTTTATAATAAATGCAAATACGATAGGAGGCAGAGAAAACGAGATATTCTTAAAAAACTGATTTTTGCGACCTTTGACCTTGAATATCTAAGGCCGCTCACACGTTGGCATATGTGACTTTTGAGACAACATTTGTAATGCTAAAATAAAGGTTTTCACAAAAATTCAGCTTATTCCGTTAGATTCCGAGGATGATCCCTTTTTTTGACTAAGATGACTGTACGCAATATCTGGTTGATAAACTTGATAATCGCGGACAAGTAGATACACACCAAAAAGCATTTGATAAAATTGACCTTGGTTGTCTTCAAAAAAAAATATATAACTAACTTTGGTGTAAAACTTTTGAAGTTATTAATTAAATAGATAGTTTGTTTGTTTGTTGAAATAAATAATTACCAAGAGTTCGATTTTGCGTTTCAAGGTGGTAGCTCTATGAAATAGTTTTTGAAATATAAGTGACTTCTCGACCCAGGAGAGGCAAAATTGGATTCCCAGGGTGGAAACACACTGGTATGGATGAAGAATTTTTAAATTTATATGGAAATAAGCAAGAGATGATTGAGGATTGAATATTCTTAGAAGTTTCTGCGCATTAAGCCATGTGAGGTGAAAAGACATGGTTCTATAAAAATTTAAGTAAATAAATAATTTAAGGGATGAGTTAATCTCGGATTCTCTTTAATGAGACCCTTAAACAGTAAAGAAAATTTTAAAAATATAATGTGCTGGTTTAATTACGCTAAAGGCCAATAAATCTAAAGAAAAATAAATAATTACCAATCAAATACATTAGTTGCTACCTCAGGGGTACTACAAGGGTTTAATTTGGGACCTTGCTTATTTTTAATTTTTAATATTATTTATTATCGTGATTTGCAGATCACTAAAGTCCTTATCAGATTATATTTATTCAAGATCCAATCCTGTATATGTGCCCTGAGGTGTAAGAAAAACTGTCTAAAATTAAATATTTAAAAATGTAGATTTGACTTAAACACGAAAATTATTGTACTGGACTTGGTAGTACTTTGAAAATTTTACTACTTAGTAGTGATTGTTTAAAAATTATTATTCGTTTATCAGATCTAAATTTAAATTTGGTTCCTTATTTGGTATCCCTATTATAATCATTGTAAGGATAGTTTTTGTCTTTTAAAATAAATGAGCGTTATCCCGAGAAAGGCTCTAATTTGATTGTACTTATGACCAGGTTTGATATCCAATTTTTAGAATTACGTTAAAAAATTATATCTGATGCTTTTTTTATATAATTTGTTACACAATAACATGTCTTTTATTACAAATTAAGTTTCTAGTATATAATACTCGTAACAATCCAGCTTTTCTTGTTCCGAGAGCAAATACAAATTTATTATCTAAGTAACCAGTTTATGTTATGTGCAACCACATTAATAGTATTTGTGTAATGTGTGATATTTAACACTTTTCTTTAAACAATATTGAAAACTTTACCTGTTAATTTAAATGCCCTTTTTGGTCTTGTACTTATGGGCACTAAACATTATTATTAATAATAAGTGCTTTAATTGTATAGAAATTATTAATTTTGGCATGCGTGGGAAATTAATTACAAAAATCAAATTAATATTTCGCGTACTACAATAATTAAATTATGTTTATCTCAACATTGTATCGATCGTTTCTTGTAAACCTTTGAACATCCCCTAGGGTTTCAAGTTTCAAAACACAATAATTAATAACTAA